AAAAAAAAGAAAAAATCGCATCGACCATTCAACTGTGTGAAGGAAATTAATAGAGACTTCAATGTTACTTTTTCCAGTTTTGAAAATAATATGAACCAAGTAAATCAAATGTGACAAAATTCATTTTCTATCTTTTGTGGTTATATTAAAAAAATAAACAGAGTAAATGTGATTGTCTCCTATTCTGCTTCACTCTATGATCTTCATAGATTTAATAAGATTTTTCACGAACTCACTTCTCCCCATAATAATGAAGTTTCACACTTCAAATCGTAATAATCCGAGAGACGTTAGAACAAGTGAAACACTAGGCTAAGTCTTCAGCAGTTTTCCCAACCTTTTTTTTTAAAAAAAAAAAAATAAGCGTCACTAGATTGAAGAATGTATATTGTGTTGCAGACGCAAACTGATATTCAGAACAGGAGACTGAAGAAGTCCGGAGCAAAAGGGGAACCCCATCTGGCGCTCTGACTCCATCCAGTTTGATTTTGTGCTCTATTTTCCATCTTTCCATTGTTATATCTTGAATGTTTTTAAAAGCCTTGGATTTAGGATGATGAATAGAGGGGATGAAATAGAAAAAAAAAATCTGACAACGCTGAGGTTTCAGGACTCTAAACTCACTTACATACATAAATACTCCAAAATAAGTTTCATTATGTGATGAGAGCCCAGAATAAAATACTATTTATTTCTTATAAAACAGAAAAGCTCACATGAAACCCCGCCTTGTTGTTTAGAAATATGAGAGCATTGTTATCATGTATTTAACAGATTCAGCTTCGGTTGCCTTCCTGTGGAAACAGTTTTATCCCACTAAACTAAGAATTGAGGGATGAATCACAAATAACAACAAAAGTTGCAGCACTGAAAAATAAATAATTTATTGTTTTTGCAACTGCTCTGTGAATTTGTATGATAAAATTATTTATTCTTATTTAACAAATATGTGCAAATTCTTCTATATTTAAAATGTTTTGCTACTGTCCTACTTTTTAATTTATGCTTCCTGTTTGTGTATAAAGTGCACTTTGTGAGTTTATACAATATACAGCACTGATGGCTTTTGTATTTTTTTTAACAGAAAGCTTTATGTGTGAAAAGATGTATGTGTGTATATTCTGCATGTATTCTTAGTCTGCCACTCTCAAGGAAGTTTTAAGTTTACTCTTTCATGACTAACACTGTTCACTACTTATTGCCATATTAATAGGTCCTTTGCATCCCATTCACACTGGTTTCTTCAAGTCACAGGTTAAAAAGAATGTATATTCAATTAAGTAAGTTGCAAGCTTTAAACTTGGGGCATACAAAGGTAAGAAGCACCCCATAAAAGCTAACACAATCACCGGGCATGGTGGCAGAGGCAGGTGGATCTCTGTGAGTTCAAGGCCAGCCTGGTCTACATAGTGCGTTCCAGGATAGCTGGGGCTACAGGGAGAGCCTGTCTCAAAAAGACCAAAAAAAAAAAAAAAAAAGCAAACACAATAAAATATCAGGTTCAAATCAGATCTGCTGGCACAAGCCTGCAATCCCAGTACTTAGGAGGCTGAGGCAGGAGGATAGGGGGTTTGAGGCCACACTAGGATACATAGTGAATTCTTACCTTGGGGGAAGAAACGGAATCAAGTTCATTCACATCACAGATAAACAGATAAAAGGAACTGTTACTGTATCATATGAAAGTCAAGTACACACAACTTCTAGGTAATAGGAGAATGAACACAAAGTATCTTGCTGCTTTAGAAACAGTTCTTAATTACTGTAATTTAGTCTTTGCTGTCTGAAGGATTTTATAGATGATCTACAAAAGAACATGGATCTTCATAATTTAGATGCTTGTAGTCATAACTATATATACTACATCTACAAATACAGATGTATACTGACAGAATGTGACTTTTTACAACTGCTATCAAATTGCCTGGACTGACAGAGAGGATCTGGGACCTGCAGGAACAGCTCCAATAACTGCAGTTCACCTCTGACTATGATTGCACAATCTGATTCTGGCAATAAGATCAAGCAGTCTTAGACCCATCATTCAAGTCATTGGGTCAGTCTCTGGTCCTGATGCTCAACTGACAATTTCCTTTTTAGCAAGTTAACAAGGTCACTGTAATAGATGGTGACAGCAGGCACATTCAGAAGCCCTGGACATGCACTATGGTTTAAAATTCACTGTATACCGGGAATATTTTGAGTATAACAATACTGAATTTTACTCATGGTTGAGAGCTTAGTGGGAAAAAATGATAGGCATGATTGATGAGCATCACTCATCTATCTAGAGTTAAACATGGGTCCATGCAAATGCATCACTTTTTTTATCTTTCAGAGCAATAAAATAAAATATATAACCCTGAGTATAAAAAAATGCCATGCAAGGATGGCACAGAACCATGTTAAAGGATTTTTGTCCATTTCGACACAAAAACGGACGTGTAGATTATCTGTATTATTTCTCTCATTGATCAAAAGTCTACAATTCTAGATAATCAGATAGATACATCAACTTAACTGAATAGTCTACTAAAACATAAATATGCTGATAGTCCCCATCAATATTAATTATAGGAATAGATTGTTGAATCATAGTATCACAAAACAAATCAATCTTTAATTCTCATTCTGTAATCCATCAGTCAATTTACTCACCAGTTTTATTAGGCTAAACTATGGGAACATATTGCAATATAGATTCACGTATTAGTCAGCCAAAACACAGGAATAAAATTGTTCAGATCAACAGAGGATTCCACATAGCAAATCCATGGTGCGGAATATAATTCTATTGTAGTTCTATGGGCAATGTAAGGCAAATATATGTATTTTGAAAAATACAACTTTGGCTTATACATTAGTCCATTCAGTTAATTGTGAATATTAATATATTAGCATCTTACCAATAATTTTCGCTGTCTCTGGTCCCATCTTGTGGCTCTACTAAGCAGTCTGTGTGGACTACATTGATTAAGAGAAAAGATAAAGACTGATTTTCTGATCTGAAACCCTATAAGGTAATGTGCCCATTGACTCAGTCTAAAACTATGAGGAAACTGGTCCTCAGAGCAGGCTCTTTTTTTATCTCATTTTTCTTTGCCAGGTCCAATGAAGGTTTGTAATTGTTACTAAGGTGCTAATGTTTTCAGTGATAAATCATCAAATGTGTTTTTGAACTAGTTTTTATTTTCAATATGATTCTATAATTTACAAGAAAGACCTCTAATCTTTTTGTCAAGGCTGGGCACAACTTAATGCTCAGAGTTCAGGAAAGCAGCACATGTAATGAGCATTCTGACCAATGGTACATGTGTGGATGCTTAAGATGTCATCAAAACTTAAAGAGAGTCAGACTGGAGTTTGGGCTCAAAGTTTCTCAGTTCCTAAACT